ATATATATATATATATATATATATATAAAGTGCGTAGGTATGCAGAAAATAGAAAAGAACAAGTTGGGTGCATAATCCGGGGTTCCTTAGTATTTTTTGTTTTTATTTTTAAGAAGACAGTGCTCCATACAGAAGTAGAGCTTATATTATAATAATATTTTTTGTTTAAAAATATGATTCCTTCACTACATGGGATCACTGGATTTTGCAGAATCTTCGGACCTTGTCGGTCTATTTATACTGTACAATCTAACCGCCCACCGTGAACTAAACGTTGGGGACATCGGGCTATACAGAGATGACGGGCTCATGGTAGTGAGGAGCTCCACAAATTTTAAAACAGAGAAAATTAGAAAGATAATTTACAATGAATTCAGGAAACTAAATTTAAAAACAATAGTCAACACTAAATTAAAAGGAGTAAACTTCTTAGACGTAACCCTAGACTTAACGAACAACGTTCACCTACCTTACAGAAAACCTAATACTAATCCCCTGTATGTACATCCTAAGTCAAACCACTCTCCATCTATAATTAAGTATATACCTGCATCAAAAAAGAATAGAATAAGTATGAAATCAGCAAATAAGGAAATATTCCGACAACACAGTAGTTTTTACAACACAGCCCTGAAAAATAGCGGATACAAAAACGCTGACATAACCTATAGAAACGATAGTACCAATAATAAGAAAAACAGGAAAAGAAAGATCATCTGGTATACCCCTCCGTACAACCAAATGGTCAGCACCAAACTAGGCCATAAGTTCATAACTTTAATTGAAAAGCACTTTCCCACTAATAGCAAACTTAGCGACATCTTTAACAAAAACATCTTGAAATTGAGTTACAGCTGCACTGAAAATATAGAAAGTATCATAAAAAGACATAATAAGAAAATCCTAGAAAAACACGCAAACCAAAACAGTAATAAAACACATAAACTAAAATTGGATAAAAATAACGAAAAATTATGTGATTGTAGAAACCCTAAAAACTGCCCGTTGGAAAATAAATGCCTCACAAAATCTGTGGTATACCAGTGCACTATCTCATCCATTGAGAGTCCTAACACTGATAGGATATACATAGGCTCAACAAAGAATAATTTTAAAATTAGATGGAGGCAACACAAGAGCTCCTTCAACAATATTCAAAATAGAAATCAAACATCTCTATCCCAATATTTCTGGCATCTAAAAGAAACGAATAAAACACCAAAAGTAAAATGGAAAATAATAAATAAAACAAGAACCTGTAAAACCTGGGATGACCCATGCCCTTTATGCTTACAGGAAAAACTACACATCATTAAATTTCTAAACAATGAAAAATTATTAAACCATAGGCAGGAGTTAACGGTTTTTTGCAGACACCAACAAACTTTCGCATTAAATAATTAGCTTGTCTATATTTCTGAGATGAGGTATTATGTACAGTATTTACATTAGTCGGACTATTGTCCTCATCTTTGTCGCCATATTTGTCACAACGTTTCGGCCGTTGTACGCTCCGATCCAGTGATAACCAGGAATTGAATTCAATTCCTGGTTAAGGCAGTGGAGAACTTTCAGAGGGAAAATTAGCAGGAGATAACTGATAACTGACATCCATCAAACATGGCACGTGGAATTAGAACAGTCTACCCCAGCGATCGAAATAAAGGGTTCAGTTCGAAATTCCAACCACCTGAAGAAGGCCGGAGCGTAAAACGGCCGAAACGTTGTGACAAATATGGCGACAAAGATGAGGACAATAGTCCGACTAATGTAAATACTGTAAATAATTAGCATATAAAAAAAAAATCCCATAGCTAAGTAAAATTCTTAAAAGCAAAGCCAAATCATTAAATAGGAAAAACCCTTTTTGTAGTCGTCAAAAAACAAATTGAAATTCAGTGCAATGCGATCTGCATATAAAACACCCACTTGAATAAACAAATAAATAAATAGATGATCAGATGGACAATAATAAAAGACAATTCCCCAAACACATAACGATTGTAGGCGCGCCATAAAAATATCCCTCACTGGGAACTAACTAAAGGGTGACCGCAAACATTAGCCTTGAAATAGATACTCTACTCAACCTTACCAAAACCTCTTAGAAGATGATGAATCTATTGATAAAAATTAACTCTCTGACCACTTAACGAAGGAAAATAGTCTAGCAACTCCCACAATAACGAATTCTGTAACAGACCGGGCCTAAAATTACACGTAAACCGACAGATAGCTTATTCCTAAAATTTCGCTTGAAGATGAAACGGGACTAAACACCACAATCCAACTTAATTTTAATAATTATTTGGATATTTCGGCTCTCGTTTTTGAAACATGAGAACTCTTATGTAGTGAAGGAATCATATTTTTAAACAAAAAATATTATTATAGTATATATATATATATATATATATATATATATATATATATATATATATATATATATATATATATACCCATACACACACACACATGTCTGGAGATTGCCTTGATTGCAGGATCATCTACAGGAATTTTTGCGCCCTGGTTCTTACAAACTTTCACAATTTCTGGCAGAAATTCTGTTATCAGCGTGTAGGATATCTACTAAAAAGGGAAGGAAAGAAAGAGAATGTAAATGAAATCGGCTAGATTAAAAAAAAATTAAATTTAAAATTCCCACCATCCCCATTTTTTGCACATATGAAGTTGCACCAACATAACAAATTTATTCAGTTCGTGCCACTAAAAACAAAAAAACCTTTCCAGATTATCATATATATATATATATATATATATATATATATATATATATATATATATATATATATAAAGAAAGAACAGTAAGATATATAATCCGGTGTTCTTATAGATATTTTATTTTTACAAAATAGTGCTCAATGTAAATTTACAGAGCATTAATATTATAAATTAATTGATTTATTTGATTCTAAAAAAACATATTTTAAATCAATTAATTTATAATATATATATATATATATATATATATATATATATATATATATATATATATATATATATATATATATGAGGGGTGCTTTTTATATCAATTTTGAATGAAGGAATCTATCTATCTATCTATGATACCCCTATATATATATACACTCTTATACCTTTGTACATATTGCCTTTTCTTTCCTTCTATCTATCTATCTATCTATCTCACACTATTATGTCTTCGTTTATATTACCTTATCTATCTATCTATCTATCTATCTATGATACCCTACACACACACACACATATATATATATATATATATATATATATATATATATATATATATATACACTCTTATACCTTCGTACATATTGCCTTTTCTATCTATCTATCTATCTATCTATCTATCTATCTATCTATCAATCACAATCTATTTCAGACACCCCTCATATATATGCAACCTTATACCTTCGTTTATATTGCCTAATTTATCTATCTCAGTCTATATGTTTTTGATATTCCGCATACAGAGTTCGTCTATAAATATGTATACATATTTCAGGAAAGGAAAAACTGCCATTGGTAATTTTATCAAGTTGCGATAATACTGTTTACTGTTGTACGATATTTTCTCGACAGATAGCACTACATTGGCGGCTTTAGACAAGAGGTTGAAAATGCGTGTAACAGCATTCCCACTGGATTCGTTGGCCAACCTTTCCCAAGTAGTACTTCACCGAAATATCTGGAAGCTAAGGGCCACCACCTATTTCTGATACGCCACATACATATATATATGCACTCTAATGTCTTCGTTTATATTACGTTATCTATCTATCTATCTATCTATCTATCTATCTATCTATCTATCTATCTCACATATATATGCACTCCCATGCCTTCGTTTATATTACCCTATCTATCTATCTATCTATCTATCTATCTATCTATCTATCTATCTATCTATCTATCTCACATATATATGCACTCTCATGCCTTCGTTTATATTACCTTATCTATCTATCTATCTATCTATCTATCTATCTATCTATCTATCTCACATATATATGCACTCCCATGCCTTCGTTTATATTACCTTATCTATCTATCTATCCATCTATCTATCTATCTATCTATCTATCTATCTATCTATCTATCTATCTATCTCACATATATCTGCACTCCCATGCCTTCGTTTATATTACCTTATCTATCTATCTATCTATCTATCTATCTATCTATCTATCTATCTATCTATCTATCTGTCTGTTTCTGACACCCCACATTTACATGCACTCTTATGCCTTCATTTTTACTGATGTAAAGTTGCGTATCGAATCATTAAAAAGAAACACTTGGCCTGATAAATACCGGCTTTGCTCTCACAACTGTAAACTAATAAAGATAAACTCATCCATCGCTGCGTTTAATTTGGCTAATTTTGCCATAAAACCTGTGACCTTTCCTTATCCCAACTATTTAGGAAGATATATTGTTGATTCTTGGCATCTTTCTAATAATCAAAGTCGTACGATTTTGTTCCCATTGATTGTCGGGTGAAAAGCAACACCATTTTGAGCGGACAATGGGATTTCATTTATTGAAATCAATATTAAGCTCATAGATTGAGCTAAATGCAACTTTAGAAACGGTCCTCTTACATGTATTTTACATTCACTTGACTATCGAAAGCGGCGCTAAATCTCAGCTAGAAACAACAAATGCTCAATGAAGAATTATATGAAACCTCCTCCCAAGATAACGGACATAATCTGTGAAAAGTGAATGCGGTTTATTGATTGATTGATTCGTTTTTACGGCTTATCAACCCGATGCAGGTTATTTAAAGTCAATGAATACTTTTTGATTGTAATGAATTTTTGGAAGTAATAATGGTTTAGTGATACGTCTTACTAATTAACCCATAGCTGGAGGGAGAAGAGGTGGATTGATACTCATGCATTTTCAAGTAAATGAATATAATGAACCCATATCGAATTGGAACTCGGCTCTCCGATTAACAATTTAAAGCCATTATTCATTACACTATTCGCGCATCCTGGTATTCCAAAGCGATCACCCATCTCGGTGACCGGGCACGACGTTGCTTAACTTCGGTGAACGTACGGGAATCGGAGTTTTGACATGATATGGCCGTAAGCCCGAATGCGGTGTAAAATCTACTGCTGGAAATTTTTACTATAAATAATTATTTTTATACTTTCATAGTATTTGACCCCAGTTTGGTGGTTAACTATTTGCCCATAACTGGGGACCCTAACACGTGCTGTCACCTTGGGTCTGACTGGACCTTGGAACAACAGCAATGAAGAGGTGGTTCCACGTTCCTCAAAACCTTCCGACTAGAGGCCTTGTTGTTGGATGTAGTTTATGTTAATCGGAGAGCAGAGTTCCAATTCCAGTTGGGTTCGTTATATTCTCTTACGTGCAACTACCCTTGTGAAATGTATGAATCCATTGCTTCTCCTCCCAGTTATGGGTTAATTAGTGTTATGGAACCTTACTCATGATAACATAATGGACTATTCCATACGTAATAAATACTGCGCCTCAAGAGGAAGCTGGGAGTTCAGTCTGAAGTCGGACGACCGGCTGACCGGCTGATCGGTTGAACTCTCTGCCTTCGGGTGGGGAGGAACCCGAACGAGGCTACGCCGAATGGCGGAGTCTATTTCGGGGAGGTAAACCGACCCTGAACCCGTTTATACGGGTTCAAAAGGCATATTTTTGGCCGAGCCACGGGATCGGAGATCCCACGTTAAACCGGTCTTGTGTCACATGATGCCCTCGTGGGGGAGGGAATAAATACTATTCAGTCTGAAGTCTGGAGTGAGGTCCGTCAGGAGTCTGTTAGTCAGTCAGGGCGAGCGAGTCAGTCAGTCGAGTCAGAGGCAGACCGAAACAGAGTCGCGTTCAGACAAATACTACTAAACCTGATTGTTCGTACTAACACTTTCTACTTCTCTGTATATATTCCTGTTTGTAATATATCTGTGTTATTCCATATCCGTGTTCGAGTTCTTCTTTATTGGTTCTACCTTGGACCATCACCGTGGTACAAGGACCTGAACCATAACAATTAGTAAGACTTTTATCACCAAAAAAAAAAAAAAACCCAAAAAACTTACAATCTGAAAAATATATTTTCTTGCTTTAAATAACCTACAACGTGTTGATAAGCCGTAGAAAATGAATCAGTCAATGAATCATCTGAACATTTGTCATGGCAATATCGACAGAGTAGCGAACCATCAGTTGCCCAATTCGATTGGTTACGAAAGACACTAATTCTTGATTAGTTTCATTTCGCAATAATTAAAGTTATTCCCTTGGCAGCCGACCAAATATACATAGAATAAAACTTGACCTGTGTTCTTATTCAAAGACTTGTTCAGTTACTGACCAGTCAGTTAATTGAAGGTCAATCCAATCAGGCGGCTGTCGAACAACTCACAACCCGGAGAAACGGAGGCACTGATTTGGGTAAAGGTCCACTTTTAGAATTGCCAGTATTTTTAAAGTGTGGGCAGCGAATTGGTAAAGTTAGACTGATTTAATTTCAAGTAAAATGCACTTCGACGTGGTGGAATTATTAGCAAGTTATCTCGCCAGATTAATTACGACCGAGTAGTGAGTTCGATCCCTACTGGGTACTCCATTCTTTCGGCCTTTGGGCACATCTAAGCTTAGTAAATTACTTTTGGGTACTTCGACGTGGTATAATGATTAGCAAGCCTGTCTCGCTAGATCAGTTAGGACTGATTAGTGAGTTGGATCCTCACTCAGTGCTCCAAACATTGATAATACATAATAATTAAACACATTTATTACTTCAAACGTTATTATAGCGGATACTCGTATTTGAAATAGACGCCTTAATTTTATTTTAAACAGTAGATATTACGTCTATCGGCATGCACATTCGAGAAGTCCTAATAAAGTAAACGTGCTCTCCGGCAGGGGTCGAACCTACGTCCCACTTTTTAGGAGAAAATGCGTTTGATCTGGTGTGCTTTACCATTCAGCAGCATTGGCGATCACAGTTCAGGAAACACATTTCCTCATTAAGATATTTTTTCCAATAAAATTTCTCTTTCTTAATATATTTTTTAAATTTTTTGAATCTTTTTGCTATTCCAACGCTCATTCGGAATTCTGTATTACATTTTTTCATCAGCTGTTATGATAGTTCAACTTCTGTACTTGCTTTATTTGGACGTTGTTTCTCGATGGTGCAATCGCTGAGTGGAGCGTCCATACATCTGATCTCGTTGCTCTCCACCACCCGAATGAACGATGGAATGCTGCACGCGACTAGCTACCCGCCATCTCATGCGTGCGCGCGTGGTGTCGCATCTCAGCGTCTCCCAGTGGTTTTTAGCGCGTAATTTCAAAATTGTCATTACTTTGTGATTTACACTCGTATTTCGTTTGTGGACGGAATGTATTTGTGTTATTGGATCATCTCCAAGTAATCATAATATGGTTGATTATCGAGTGATTGGTTATTGATTTGTATAATTTTTTTCTCATTTCAAGTTGATGAGTTTTATTGATTAATCATTGTTAGTTATTAAGTATGGACAGATTATGATTTCGATCTAGATTCTTGACCGCAGAATAAGTACAATGCAAACGTTTATTTTAACATGAAAAAATACAGGGTGACCCCAAAAAACGAAAATTTTTGAAGTGCGTATTGCCAGACATGAGCAAGTGGCAACACTGCGAGACAGTGATCTTAAGCAAGTAAACATTTCGCCATTTAGAATTCAAGATGAAATTCACAGTATCCCAGCTGAGATGTTGCAGCAGGCAATGAGGAATCTCAACAGCAGATTTCAAGAATGCATTCGTACAGGAGGACACCATCTACAGGACGTAATTTTAAAAAAAATGAAAATTCCATCATTGTTTCTTAAATGGCATGTTTTAAGGTTTCAATTACTATGGATAAAATATTTTTCTTCCATCACTCTTGGTTTTATTGGATTGTTAAAAAGTTTCCTTTTTTGGGGTCACCCTATACTTAGATTTGTACTTTTCACAGAGGTTTTGTCTGAACATTAGAGATGAGAAAGCATTATTATTATTATTATTATTATTATTATTATTATTATATGCTTTACTATCCAGATAAGTAATGGAAAATGGAAATTGTGATACAGAGATCCCCAAAAAGGAGTTCCAAGAATGCTTCCATCAATTTTATACTGGATAAACTGCGTTGATTCAGAAGGGACTACTTCGATAGAAATTAAATGCCGAATTCACATGTGTTCTAGTACTCTTTTTATCGCACCATTTGCGATACTTTTTGAACAGACCTCGTATATGAATGGTTAAATCGATTATACTCTTTTAAAATGTGTTTAAATCAGCCCCATATCATATACCTGCATGCTGTATGAATTAAAAAAAAAAAGAACATCCCGGTAACGAAAGCGGCAAAGATTCTTTCTGTCGGTGGAAATGAAATTTTAACCGTCCGGACATATCAACGAGGGTTTGACCAGTTCCGGTCGGGAAATTTTTGTCTCAAACTGGGCGACCAAGTTCTGCCAATATTCTGTCAAACTAGCTGAGGAAAATGCTAAACATCCTGAACAAAGAGTTGCCCTCTGCTCGTCAGGGAAGAGTAAGCTTGCTTCCGAACCTTTTCAGAGTAGAGTTATCACCGGTGATAAAATGTGGGTTCGCTATAATCATATCCAATAAAAATGACAATGTTTAGCACCCGCTGAAAAAGGAGAATTCATACCCAAAACCAGATTACTCCTTAAAAATATGCTCTGATCTTTATGGGATATAAAGTGTGAAAAAAAAAAAAAAAGATTTGCAGCAAAAAAGCCTGTTGTAACCTAGGGAAGGTTACTGAATAGAATAATCACATGAAGGTTAGTAAAGAACGATAATACTTAGGAAAAGAACAACACATATAAGATTCTCGAGCGGCGAGTAGAAGAAGTATTCAACTGATAGAAGTGAGTCAAGTGAATGACAATGAATCTCCAACTGCAGACCAACATACAGTATTTACTGCTGTATTTATATGAATGGGGGCATACACATTGTCGTCCTTAGGTATGTGTTACGGGACCTTACCCATAATAACATAATGGACTATTCCATACGTAATAAATACTGCGCCTCAAGAGGAAGCAGGGAGTTCAGTCTGAAGTCTGCAGTGAAGTCCGTCAGGAGTCAGTCAGTCAAGTCAGAGGCAGTCCGAAACAGAGTCGCGTTCACACAATTACTACAAGACATTGGAATAGTGATACTGGTCGAGACTACATTGTTCTCCCTACTAAACCTGATTGTTCATGCTTCTCTGTATATATTCCTGTTTGTAATATATCTGTGTTATTCCATATCCGTGTTCGAGTTCTTCTTTATTGGTTCTACCTTGGACTATCACCGTGGTACAAAGAACCGGACCATAACAGTATGCTACAATAGCGCCCATCATTGGTTAATCGTTAAGGAGTTAATGTAATATTAATCTTTAATGTAAGGCCACATATTACACAGATCACTCACAAAACTATCTGTTATATCTCGTGCAAGATATAATAAACAAAGTAAACCCGAGTGTGGTTTTCAATAATAATTTTATAATCGGATGTAAGTATGTCAAAATACAGAGACAGAGTCAGGAGTAAGCTAACCGCAATGGTGTTAGTAAACGAAGACCTTTTCTACTGTTTACTGTGGTCGTACTTTATCGGCAACCAGTCCGTCCATTATCGTGAATGGGGAAGTTGGGTTATCTCATCACAACACTATCTGAAAGTTTTGACTCGTCTATCTTACTCTCCTGATCTAAATCAATCTGACTATGATACTTTAAAGTATTTCTTAGAATGAAAACAGTTTATTAATTGCAAAGAGTGTTTCTTCATTGAAAGTGATAATGAATTTTGCATCGAAAACTGAAGAAATTTACGCCTGAAGGATCAATAATTTGCCAAATGGGTGTGAATCTGTATATATCTGTTGGGGCGCACCCACCTTCTAACTAGAAATGGACTGGTCCCTCTTATATAAGTCAGCTCTAGTGAGCGAGAGACAGAGCGTCAGCGACAGCAGTCCAGATAAGCTTACCCGTTACATACCGTTGGACTAAAGACTTTGGATAT